GGGTTAGGGTTTTTTTTCTCTTTATTAATTTTATTTTATTTTTGTCTCTGTTATTGTTGTTTTGCCTACCTATATAAGATAGGCATGGGAAGCAAGCCCGAGACAGTTCTGGAGGGACTTGTGGGGAGGAGGTGGCTGGGGAAGGGAGAGGTAAGCAAACAACACCATAGACAGGGAACAACTGGGGAAGTAAAACAACAAAGAGGAGGACATAGAGATCCCGGTGGTGTTGGAGCAATAGCAATCTAACTGTGAGAGAGTTACCAAGAGAAAAGAAGGGCGAGCATGATGGTGGGGTAGGAGGAAGGTCAAAGGAAAAGAGGAACGATCTAGAAAGTAATGCTATGGATAGAGGTATAAACATAGGTGTGTGTATCTGTAAATACATTAATTGATAGAAATAGAGTTACATGTACATATACTTATATGGAAATACATTGAGGAAGTAGACAGACTCTGAGCTCTACTCAAGCCCTCCTTCAATGCAAGAACAGTTTGTTCTAACAACCAGGCATTCTGTGGTGCTCACCCTCCCGGCATGATCACCGAAGACAAAATGGGTGCACAAGCAAATGTGATGAAGAGAGCTGATGGTGCCCGGCTATCAAATGAAACAGTGCCTGGTGTCCTAAAGACTTGAAGTTAAACAAGTAGCCATCTAGCAGAGAAACAACTGGAAGAAGCATACTAGCCTATGCAATCAGCCTGATCGATGGGATCAGGTAACAGGCCTCAGAAGATCCCAAACAAAACAAAACAAAAACATACTACTGAGAATGAGGGGCATCGGAGCAGACACCCAAAACCCATCTGCAGACAATAGGACGTCCCCTCACAGAAGGGTCACAAGGAAGGGACGAGTCAACCAGAGCACAGTAAAGCACCAAAGAAACACAGTATTCCCCTGGTTCTTTGAGGCTTCCTCAGCCCCTACTTCATGACCCCAGCCCTGCCTTTCAGTTCTGGCTAGGTACAAATAAGAGCTCACTACATATGGAATCCAGGTCAGATAAATCCCTCAGGAACAGAATTGGGAGTAGTGAGACCAGGAGGGTAGGGAGAAATGGGGGTGGGGGTGAGGAGGGTAGGAAGGGGGAACCAATCTCTGATCGATGCATAATTCCCTCTACCCCCCCACCCCCCAGGTGGATGAAGAACAGAAACGTGAGCCAAGGGAAACGGCGGTCGGTCTAAGATATGAAAATAATAACTTATCAACGGGTCACAAGGGTGAGAGGGGGAGGAGGGAAAAAAGTGGAGCTGATACTAAAAGCTCAAATAGAAAGTAAATGTTTAGAAAATGATGATGGCAACATATGTACAAATATGCTTCATACAGTTGATGTGTGGATTGTTCTAAGAGCTGTTGTAATGGTCTCCAATAAAATGATCTTGAAAAAGATAAAAAAGGCTCTCCCAAGGAGCAGCTGGTGGTTTCAAACTGCCGACCTTACAGTTAGCAGCCCAACTCCTAACCTCTATACCACTAAGGCCTTGGCAAACCTAGCTTTCTGGGCTAAATGCCCAGAGGCGCCTCACTCCACAAGCCTCATCCCAAAGGCACCCAGCTCTGCTTGCTCTGTGGACTGGGAGGTGTACTTCTCGTTCTTATCTTCTGGTTCCTGTGCTGCTGCTGCTGCTGCCGCCCCTCTGCCCATCCTACCGGGCTGACACTGTTCTGGACCAAGGAGGTTCAACATGCAGGGATCTAAGGGTCTACATTCTAGCATTTGTGCTCCCCTCCTGGTTCTTGATAGTAGGGAGATTACCCACCACCTGCTTAGGGAATGCCTTAGGGAATGCCACTCCAGGTGAATCCTGCTCAGAGGCACTCACAGCTGAGTCCTATCTGTAGCTTCCGCCACCAAACCCAACAGGGAAAAGGTGTTTGTTGGGAGTCAGTTAATAAGAGACTCTGGCTAGAGGACGCCACATTCGATAATTCACAGCCCTGGAGGGAGGAGCTGAGAATCGAGACAGTTTGGGATTAGAGAATCGTCTGTGTGCTTTTCTTCCTAGTTCAGCAGAGCCAGAGAAAGTAGACTGTAAGGCTAACTTTTCAGTTGTTCAGATAGAATGTCAAACTGCTTTTTGTGTGTTGTCTTAGTTTGAAAATACGTCTTACAGTCTGTTAGCCCCCCCACTCCCCCAAACGTAGTGAGTCCTTAAAGATCATCGTCTGAGAGATTGGGACGAGGGCGGTGGCTCCCTCCCGTCATCACATTTGCTGTGATGCTGCAGCAGAGCCGTCAGGGATTTAGCGCACAGGGCACGTGTGTCTTCACGACAGACTCCCTTCAAGAAGGGAGACGTCGGACAGTGTAAGGCATGAGAAAATCATAATAATTTATGAATTATCAAGGATTCGGGAGGGAGATAGAGGGCGGGTGAGGGAGGGAGGCAGGGGAAAAATGAAAAATGAGGTGCTGATCCCAAGGGCTCAAGTAGAAAGCAAATGTTTTGAGAATGATGATGGCAACAAATGTACAAATATGCTTGATACGATGGATGGATGTATTGTGATAAGAGCTATACGAGCCCCCAATAAAATAATTTATTGAAAAAAAAAAAGACTTTTATTAATTCGTTAAAATGGTCCTTGCCTTTTGTGTAATTGTTTCTCTTCCTTTCTGTCTATGTAAAAGCAAAGCATGTAAGGGGCCTTAAGGTTAATTGAGGGCTGTGATGTTGCTTTTCTATGAGAAGGCTTTAGATGCTCGAATTAGGATCCCATCCTGAAAATTGAAATGCAGCCTTCTTACAAATAATCGAAGCATTCCTTAACATGGAAAAGTCTTTTTTTTTTTTTTTTTTTTTTAACTTTTGGCTAAAATTCCACATATACTCTAGTATAAGCCAACCCGAATAGCAGCCGAGGCACCTAATTTTACCACAAAAACGGCATTAAAACTGTGCTGAAAAACTCAGCTTATACACGAGTATATATGGGATCCCTTGGTAACTTACTAAATCCTTTTAGAGAGCTGACTGATGATCCCTAGTGTAAACATTCTACAAAATATTTTACTGTAAATATTAATTACATACTGTGTTAGTAGCTCCCTGGGTGATGTAACTGTTTACCCTGGATTACTAACGGAAAGGTTGGGGGTTTGATTCCCACCCTGTGTGCAGAAGCAGTGTGGAGGTGAGACCCATATCTGACCTCCTGGCTTCCCCATTACCCCAAGGCAGAGGTCAGACAGACAACGTGCCTCTGCTCTCCATCCCTCTTTACCTATTTGGACACCAACCGCCACACTCTGCTTCTACGATAGGATCCGTATTTCATTGCACTGGTCAAACTGAGCTCCCGGTCAACACTCGTGATTGAGCAGGGACGTTGAACAGTGGGTTGTGAGGGAATCTAACAGGTTACCACAAGCCAAGATCAGTATGCAGTAAGGATATAGTCCTAGGTCCACAGCTGTCCCTCTTCCTCAGCCCGCAAGCAGCCAGGTCTCTCTCTGGCCCTCAGCCTCTGCCTTCCTGGACCAGGAAGCCAGCCCACTCCTTTACTGCGCACTCTCATCGTCACTGCTCGCACTTCGGCTTAGCCTCAGCATGTTCTTCTTGCCTGGCTCTCTGGTCTTGGCCTGACTCCTGTGCTGTGTCCACAGGCTCTGTTACTTCTGGTCTCAGCCTCCATCACTGCCGTCAGGGATGTGGGGCATGCCCTTTTTCCAGTGGTCCTGGGCTGCTTTCCTTCTGTGTCTGCGCTGGCTCTTATACCTAGGCATGGCTTTGATGACCTGCGGTGTTTTCTTTCAGCATTCCATAGCCCCACGGAAGCAAAGGGTGTGACTTAGTTCACACCTTCTACCAAGCCCAGGACTCAATCCCACCTTCATCCTGCCCTTGAGCATAGCAGAGAACTCCCTGCACATGGGATGATAGCTGCAGGCACAGAGTCCAGTATTCAAACGCATCACTTCAGGGATTCTGCCTAGAAGGCTATGCCAGGTCTGCAGCTCACCGTGGTGTCACCGAAGAGAGGCCAGGCAACCTGCTTCTCTAAAGATGAAGACACTCACTGCCGTTTTCTGAGCCTGCAAATCTTTTCTGCGCTGAATAAAAACAAAGCTTCAAACTCATTGCCGTTCAGTCACTGACGACGCACAGAGAGCCTCTAGGCCAGACTAAATTGCCCTTGTGGGTTTCTGAGACCGTAAGTCTTCATGGGAGTAGAAAGCCTCGTCTTTCTCCTTGTGGAGTGGCATGTCATTTCGAACTGCTGACCGCTTGCAGTATGCAAGACTAGTGGTGTCCTGGGCTGCATGTGAGGCTGCTAACTATAAAGTCATCGGTTCAGAACCCACAAGCTGCTCAGCGGGAGGAAAATGAGGCTTTCTATTTCCGTGAAGAGGTAGAGTCTCGGGAACCGACAGGAGCAGCTCCACCCTGTCCCACAGCATCAAGGTGAGTGCGAATCGACTCGATGGTGGTGATTACTTTAGGGAAGGGGTTCATTTTGATCCACTTTTTATGTAGCAACTGCTTGGCCAGTGGCGATGGAAGCCTGCACTGCCTCCCTTCATGTCTGACCTCGTTGTCTCTCTGCCAAATCTTCCTCCACACAGTGCTCTCACCATCTCCAACATCCAGGCCGGATCCACTGGAAACTGGGGCTGCCACGTCCAGACCAAGCGCGGGAACAACACGAGGACGGTGGACATTGTGGTGCTGGAAAGTTCTGCCCAGTACTGCCCACCGGAGAGGGTGGTGAACAACAAAGGGGACTTCAGGTCAGTGATGGGCATGACCCAAGAAGGTCTGACTTGGTCTTGAGCCTCTGCCTGCCCCCGAAGGCGCAGGCCCATGTCCCTCTGATAAAACATGGGAAGTGGCGACTGTACAGCGTATTTACGCGAGTATAAGCCGACCCGAATATCAGCCAACGCACCTAATTTTACCACAAAAAACGCATTAAAAATGTGCTGAAAAACTCGGCTTATACACGACTGTATACGCTATGTTACACGCATGTCATTAAAAACCTGTCTGATGATGGCCGTTTAGAAGAGTGCTGGTTTTACAGTCACCTAGGAAGATTCAAACAAAACACGATGGGTATTTTTGTTTGAACTTTACACACCTTACCCCCGGTCTATTTGATGTTGAATCTCTTTGGGGTCAAGGCCAAAGTGTTCTCTTTTTTTAACTTTTCTTGGCAGATAATTCACCAACCGTAGTTAAGTCATATCAAGAAGAGTTGTACACTCATCGCCACACCCTGTGATCTTACACTGATCTCCAGGACTTTCGTCAAAGTGCCACTGGGTGGATTTGAACTGGCAACCTTTTGATTAGTAGCAAACCATTTGTGCCTCCCAGGAAGCTAATGAGGCATTAGTTAATGTACATGAAGAGAAGTAGATTGCGCTTTTAAGTAGCATAAAGGTTGTCTAATCCCTGCCTTTGCATTGTCCATCACTGATACTTCAGCTCCCTCACAGCGTTGAAGCTTATGTTCTAAGGATGAAAGAAGCTCTGTGGATGTGTGTTTCAAATCCAAAGCCAAGGGGTGATAGCTTCTTTAGCTCAGCCAGCTCCTCCCTGGTCTTCTTGAAAGTAGAAAGTACTTTCCACACCCCCTTTTAAAAATACTTCACTCCTATACATGTGTCTGTGGAAATCAGCATTTATTGCCACCGGTGGCTAAGTCTCTTCTATGTGGATTTACTACTGATCTCTAAGAGTGATCGTGTTAAGGACAAGATAGGCCAACGGAACCAAAGGCAATGCTAGCCATAGGTAACATTTGATTATGGTCATCCTCTTATTAAAGCAAGCAGAGATGGGTGTTTCCTGTTTGTTGTTGTTGCTTTAATCGTTTTCTATTTTTCCTCATACTTTTTGAGTGCTGTACATTTTTTATGATAGACGCATATATCTAAAAACATTACCGATTAATGAATTATGCATCTTTTGACGCTCCTTAAGATATTATACAATTAAAATCCCACTGCATTAGTGAGATCTAGTTTAGTGTTGCTTGGCCTAGTTATGCGGCGTTTCTTAATGAATTATGTTTGTCGTGATGATACTGTAATTGGGCAAGCCCTTCTGTTAAGTCTCAACTCTAACTTGCATTGAGTGTGTTCAATTCACTCCCAATTTTGGAGGCATTAGCAATGGAGGTCAGAGAATAAAGATCTAACCAAGTTCACGATGATCCATGCCCAAAGACCGCATCATCACCTGCACACGGAGTGGATTTTACCTGATAAATTCAGCTGTGTACTCTGTTGGGCTGGGAGGGTGGGGAGATTCTTCAAGGCCACCCTCCTACTCAGACATTTTTTAGAAGGACTCCAGAGTCACAGTGTATATTTTTTATTAGTTACCTAATGAGGATGTCAGATCACTGGGTGCTGCATGCGATCCCCTCCCTCGATCCCCTCCCTCGATCCCCTCCCTCGAACCCCTCCCTCGAACCTCCAGGTGATCTGCTTCTGTAGAGCTCACAGCCCAGAAAAGATAAAGGAGTGCAGTTCTACCACATAACACGTGGGGGCGCCAGTGAGTCAGAAGCGCCATTAAGGCAAGAGGATTTGGTTTTGTTGCAAGGAATCACAGTTCAGGAGGGAACCAGAAGTCTGCACGGACCCAAGGGAGCAAAAACGCAGCACCATCAGCATGACGCTTCTGCCTGTGAGAAATTTGGCATTGGCGGCGGAGTGGGTTACATGTTGGCTGCTAATAGCAAGGTCAGCAGTTTGAAAACCGTCAGCCACTTTGCTTGAGAAAGACAAGGCTTTCTACTCCTGTAAAGAGTTAAAGTCTCAGAAAAGCACAGGGGCAGGTCTATCTTGTCGGATAGGACCTTCAAGTGAGAATCGTCTCCTCACAGTGAGTTTAGGTTTGGTCATGTGCACACCCTCTGCTGGAGGGAAGTGGGGCTCAGCATTAACCGCATTGCTTGCCTAGTCTGGGTACCGTGAGCCACCTGCCAGCTGGTGATGGAAGATATGAACACCAGGTCCCCAGACTCCAGCCTCAGGGTCAGCCTCACTGAGGACAGCCATGACGGCCCTGCTGCGTGAATGTTTTTCTGCATGGATGTGAACTCGTCTATGAAAGATCCCATTATATTTATAGTATCTTCATGTTTGGGCAACATTTTGATCTGACATAGATGATGGTTCTATAAGCCCATTGTAGCCTAATCCTTAATTATTGTAATTAAAAAGAAATGCAAAACCCATTTTCTGCTCCATTGCATAGTTAGTTCTGCTTTGGGCCGCTAACCGCAAGGTCAGCAGTTTGAAACCATTTTCCTCCTGCTCTGCAGGAGAAAAATGAGGCTTTCTACCCCAGAAGAGATGTGTAGTCTTGGAAACCCACAGGGGCTATTCTACCCTGTCCTGTAGGGTCACCTCGAGTTGAAATCCACTCCAAGGCAGTGAATTGGGGTCTTTTTTTTGGGGGGGGGGAGAATAAGATACAATTCTCCTATTCATACACCCCTTCTCCAGAATTCAAATAGTTTTATTTTAGAAAATGCCATTTGATTGTGTTGTGATACTGAGGTACACTTGGCAGATAGCATAAAAGTGGGTCATCGTCGTCGTCTGGTGCCCTATGCATCACAGCTCCGTGCACAACAGAATGACGCCGCCCGGTCCTGCGCAGCCTCACCATCCCTGCTGTGCTTGAGCCCACGGTGGGAGCCACGGTGTCAGCCCATCTGGTCGAGGACCTTCCTCTTGGTGCCCTCCCACTTTACCCACCACGATGTCCTTCTCCAGGGACGGGGCTCTCCTGACAGTGTGTCCAAAGTGAAAGGAAAGTGGGTTGTCCATTAAAAAAAAAAAGATTTTTCTTAAAGTTTCTGATCTTTCATCTTAAAGAGGCTTGGCGTGCCTCTTCCCCCGGATTGTGTGCCACTATTCCCTGGGACCCTGTGGCCCCACGGGAGGAGAGTCTTGGTGCCCTGTACCCAGGAACATGGCGTAAGACACAGGCCCTTCTTCTCCGTCTTGGAGGGTTGCTGCGAATCAGAATCAGCTTTGATGGCAAACGGCAGATCAGCAGTGACAGTGACGGTGACAGCGAATTGCCATGATGGCCCCCACTACTCAGTTTCCCCCTGCTTCTTCCTGTTCCTTCTGTTACATGGTTTCTCCCTTGTCGCCTGCCCAGGTGGCCCCGCACGTTGGCGGGCATTACCGCATACCTGCAGTGCACTCGGAACACTCACGGCAGTGGGATTTACCCCGGGAGCCCACAGGATGAGAGGAAGGCTTGGCGCAGGTGTGACCGAGGTGGCTTTTGGGCAGATGACGATTATTCACGATGCCAGTATGCAAATGACGTCACTAGGGTCCTGTATATGTTTAATCAGGTAAGTAGAGTTTTGTTTTTTGGGCTTTATTTCCCTTTGTGGCTGCAAGTTGTGAGCAAAACATGCCATGCATGTCCAAGTTCAATGCACAGTTTTCTACGGCTGTCCCAACTGGGAGTCCAAGGATTCGTGTTTGGAAGCTCACTTTCCCTACAGATCTCCCTAGAGATGTGTCTGTCTTCAGTAGACTTCTTTCTTCATGGGCGCTCAAGACCCTTGGCTTTCCATGATTATTGCTGCTGCTGTTGCTGTTGGCGCCTCAAGTCAGTTCCATCCAGCTCAAGTGACAGCATTGAGTTGGTGCTCAGAGGGCTCTGTAGGCTTTGAACCTCACAAGAGTGGTTTCCTGGGTCTCTCTCCATTGCAGCTGGTGCAGAGACCCCAACTGCCTGTCTTCCAGTTAGCTGCCAGCCACTTAAAGTGTGGTACGGGGAGGATTCCCTAAGGGTCAGGCCCATGGTGAAGCACTTGCTTGACAAGTGACCCTGTTGTTGGGGACTTGAATCCACTCAGAGGTACCTTGGAAGAAAGGCCTGGTGAACTGTTTCTAAAAGACCACAGCACTTGGAGCCCAGCTCAGCTCTGAAACACATGGGGTTTCCAACAAGGCAGAATCGATTCAAAGCTTTTTTAAAAAGGGGCATCATTTTTCCTTCCTGGTCATTGCTGCCACACCTTGTGCCTTTGCTGGAATACCTTCCTCACCTGCATATGAAATAAGATCGCAACCATTCCGATGTCTACCTGGAAAGCCACTTCCTGGGTGTGCCTTGCAGAATCACCCTTTATAGACACAACTCATTAGAGTTCTTGTGCAACTCACAGGCCTGTCTGCACTGCTGCTGCTCCTCCTCGGGGTCCCAGCTAAGCATTAGCACAGTATTCGAAACCAGAACCTGGCTCCTGTGCCTTAGCTTCTTATCTTCTGCTCTGTACCAGCTAGCAGGACCCTTTGCCACATTCACGTGTGAGGCTTGGTTGGAGCCGTGGCTCACATGAGCACATGGACGCCTGGCCTGCATGTGTACTCAGTAGTGGCTAGTACCCTGGGGCAGCGGGGTTCCAGGCCAGGCAGTGGGACCTCCGGAAGGCTTCTGCCCAGCAGTTGGCTAGAGGTATGAGGAGAATTCCTAGGATCTGCCAAGAGGAAGATAGAGCTTTCCTTAAGGTTCTTACAGTTCATCTCAGATAAAAGCAAAAATAAAAACCAGTTTCCCCTTAGGTTAGTGTCCCGACCATCCCTGTTCTCTCTGCTCGGAAGCAGATTTGTCAGGAGGTCACGGTGATCATGGTCAAGTACTTCGATGGTTGCCGGGTGTGGGAACGCCAAGCTCAGATGTCAGCATTGAATGGGCCGTGATACTTACTGCTTCTCTCTGCCGTTTCCACGTAGATGCCCCTCAATCTCACGAACGCTGTGGCCACAGCGCGACAGTTACTGGCTTACACCGTGGAGGCCGCCAACTTCTCTGACAAAATGGATGTGATCTTCGTGGCCGAAATGATAGAAAAATTTGGAAGATTTACCAAGGAGGAAAAATCAAAAGAGGTACCCTTCTGCTTCTGATGGGTCGTGTACGGGGCCAAGCAAAGCGTGTCTGTGATCAGGGGTGAATCGGGATTTCTGAAGCCTGCTTGCGTGTGTGCTGTCTTTGAACTAAAGGCTCACGATGGTCTCCAAAGTGGACATTGAGAAGCATCCGCTTTGTCTGTTAGAGGGGCTGGTTGTTGGGAGAGGAGTCCGGCCAACGGTCGGTTCTTAGAACGCCGGCTTCTGTGATCCTTAGGGATTGGCTTGTGTTGCAGAGAAAGCGATGTTGTCCTCACACCCCTGAGACCGGACGAACGAGATCATAGGTTCTCAACTTAACCTGGCTTCAGAAAAATGAAAAAAATATTTTATTTATTTCTTTAAAAAATTACTCAGTGCTCCGCTGGCTATTAAAACAAAGCAAAACAAAGCATGTCTGCAATAGCCCTTGCTGGTTTGGGGTGCCTTTGTGCCGGTTCTGACCCTTGGCGACCTGGGCACCACAGAAGGAAACTCTGCCCCTCCTCTGCCGTCTGACCCGTTGTTCCGATGCTTCCGCCCATTGCTGTAGCCACTGTGTCGCTCCGTCTCTTTGCGGGCCTTCCTCTCTCAGCCGCCCCTCATCGTCACCACGCATGGTGTCCTTCTCCAGGGACGGGCGTCACTTGACATGCCCAAAGTACGTGAGATGGAAGTCTTGCCACCTTTGCTCTGTGGAGCCCGCTGGCTGTACGGCTGGCAGGACAGCTCAGTTTGTCCTCCCAGCAGTCCCTGGGACTTTCAACATTCCGCTCCAGCACCGCCCTTCAAACCCATCGGCCCTTCTGCCGTCTTCCTCACTCAGTGTCCGACTTTCACGTGCATAGGAGGCAGTTTGAAAAAGGCTTGGGTCAGGTTCACTTTCGTCCTCCAAATAGCATCCTTGCTCTTCAGTGCCCTAAAGGGTCTTGGGCATCAGACTTACCTGATCCAACACATCTTTTGATCTCATGGCTTCTGCTTCTATCTTGATCCCAGCAAGACAGAATCCTGACACCTTCAAACTTGTCTCCCTCTGTCATGATGCTACTTACCGGGCCAGTTGTGAGCATTCTGGTCTTCTTGACATTGAGTAGTGACCCACACTAGAGGCTATAACCCTTGATCTTCATCAGCAAGTGATGAAGGGGCAGTATTGCCCATCTGGGGAAAGACCAAGCTCGGGTGCCTCTCGACCACTGCCAACCCCTCGGATTGGGACGGCCTGCGGACAAAGCTGTCTAAATTCTGCTCTGGGGCACTCCTCCTGTTCCCCAGTATTGGACCCCATCCGTTTGCTGCTCACATTGTTAGTACTGATTTCTGGAAGTGGAATGCTTTGAGTTACTCAAATGACGGGTTGACCGTTGGGGATCTGCACATTCACAAAGACTTTTGCCATAATACCTGTTAACTCACAGACGTCTGTGTTTCACTATGGGGGTCCTTTGCTCCATTAGCTTCCCGCTCCCAATGGAAACATATCCGTAGGGCAGATGTAGTGTTTACAGAGCCCTGGTGGTGCTATTGGGTAACCATTGCGATGTTAACCACAAGGTTAGTGGTTCAGATCCACCAGCCCCTCCTTGGGAGGAAGATGAGGCCATCTGCTCCTGTTAGGTTTCTGGGGGTCCCCCCCCCCCAGTTCCTGCTTCTCAATGCTGAAAGAATCCATGCAGTAGAAGCATTTTTGTAATCCAGATAACTTTCCTGAGGGAAAGGGGCGTTTCGGGCAATACAGTCCCAGGTAGTACACGCTATCTTTGGAAAGCATGCAAGGCTGCATGGTGGGGGCCGTGAGAGTTTTCCACTGAAAATGGCCATTTGGGGGAAGACGGAAAAACCACGAGGAAAAAGGAGTGAGGGACAGAAAAGGGAAGAAGAGAGAGTGTGAGCGCTGAGTGGGCACGCAAGTGTGCCCCACACACATGGGAGAAGTCCCGACCTCGGGCCTGAAAGAAAGGCCTGCCCTCAGCCCCTGCTATTGTCCCTTCCTCGCCCCACTTGGCAGGGGGCTGTCATTGAGGGTACTGGCCCTTCTTAGTGGCTGAGTTTAGGCACATGTGTGATGTATGTTGCTGGTGCCAAATGTGTGCGCCCAGGTTGATCTTCGTCTGATCCTGCCCAGCTTTGGATTGCCCCCATAGGTGTCTGATGTGTGCTCCGATTCCGTTCAAATCCCTTTATTGTGGCATGGCCAGCTAGCTTTTATTTAGGGCGGGCAGCCCTCATCTTCCTACCTGTCCCTCCCATAAAAACCTACATTCTCAGAACACACAGACAGTTGTACCGTGTCCTTTAGGGTCCCTGTGAGTTGGAATCAACTCGAGGGCAGTGGGTTTGGGATTTAACCATTTCCTGTTCTGAAGTCCACCATTAGCTGCTTCCGAAATGTTCTCCTTGGAGAAAAGAAGTAGGTTTAGTTTTACGATGGTCTCATTAACTGTGGGCCTCTGGGTTTACAATGAAGCCTTTGTTCTTGCTTCCTTTGGGAAAGCCAGTGGGCACCAGTGAGGAAGATGCAGACCCAGTGACCCGCAAAGGGTCAAACTCTAGGCGAATGCTCGTATCAGGATCAACTGGGACTCACGGTGGTGAGAGCCCCTGTGTATCAGAGTAGATCTAAGTTCCACGGAGCTTTCCAAGGCTGATTTTCCGGAACTGGCTCTCCAGGCCTTTTTCTCCAGAGTAACCTCCAACCTTTGGGTTAGCTGCTGGGCACATTAACCATTGCTTCATTCTGAGACTCCATGGGCTTAAGGGTTTCGACATTACTGTGATCTCCAAGGAAGAAGGGCCCAGCCTGCAAAGGAAAAAACTCACCTGAGTGTTTCCACAGATGATTTCGAAAGTTTTGTTTGAAGGCAATTGCTGCCCCTTAACTCTGTGTAACAAGGGATGTAACGTTACCATCTCTAGAAACAGTCGACAGCTGTTTGTTGTTGTTGATGTTAGGTGCCACCAAGTCGGTTCCGGCTCATAGCTCCCCTGTGTGCCCCAGAATGAAACATCACCCAGGCCTGCACCATCTTCACAATGGTTGCTATGCTTGACCCCATTTTTGTAACCATTATGTCAGTCCATCTTATCCAGGATCTTCCTCTTTCTCTTCTGTCCCTCTACCAAGCATGATGTCCTCTTCCAGAGATGCATATGAGAAACAAATAATAATGACCCTATAGGACAGAGTAGAATTGCCCCTGTGGGTTTCTGAGACTGTCACTTGTTATAGGACTCGAGAGCCGCGTCTTTCTCCCAAGGTACAGCTGGTGGTTTCAAACTGCTTACCTTGTGGTTAACAGCCCAACAGAAAGAAGAGTATTCAGGATTGAGCCCTTCAGGGACCATCCTCCATACTGGAGTGACGAGCATCTATTCAGTTCTTTAGCTTAAACTGTCGGCCCTCACTTCCCCCGGAGTGTAAAATAAAATAAAACATCCTGAAATCTAGGAGCTTCGTTTTAAGTTAATTACCACAGTGTAAAGTGATGGAAGGAATCCTGAAATGTGTCCAGCTCCATTGGAAACGTAATTAGTCAAATTGCTTTTTGTGCGGTGGCCAAAAAGTTAACTCTGCTCCGGATTATTTCACAACCAACGATGGCGAGGCAGCAGCGCCGCTTAGACTCGTAAGTTAGTCCAGCCAGCACAAACTCGCCCGTTCTCTTCGGCAAGGTAATGATAAAAGCTATTAAACTGTCAGGTATAAATGATGTGGTTAGTGGTGGTTTTTTGTGTTTTTTTCAAAACCAGCTGAAGGTTGTCTGTCAGACAACTTAAGTATCTATTACAAGGGTGATATTTTTCTTCTTTCTTTTTTCTTTTTTTAGTGGAAACAATATATAACCATTGCAGAAAATGAGAGAATATATAAAGATTCTATTTGGCTGTGTTTTATAGTCTCTATATTGTGCTTTGGTTTTAAACATGTGAGCAAAGCCTGTGCATTACAGCTACGTTACTGCTAAAGTCATTTAGCATGCCTTATGAATAATTTTTAAAGCATTTAGAGTTTGTTGTTTTTTCATTTACTCAATTGAAAGCTTAATCTTGTCAGTACTTTTCTTTGATCAAAATTGACAGAGTCTTCTGTTTTATGACGCTTTTCAAAGATCCGGCTTCTGGCTTTGTTGATCCTTTCTAGAACACACCCCCTTCCATTCCCCCAACTTGAGCCATTCTCTTCCTCATTGATGAAGCTTCAAGATATAACCCAGTGCACTTGGGGAATGAGTAATGGAACTCAGAACCATGATCTTAGAAGACACTAGGTCTTCTGGGAATAATACAATCCACACGGGTCATGGTCTACTTCTCCTCTGGTGAGTAGTGACCGCGGTATAACCATTGGCAGCTACTGGGCTCTTCCTGCCCAGGGGAAGGAGAATGAAGACAACTGAAGACACATGGAATCAATGAGTCCAGTGAACTAATGGGCACAAGTGTCCATTACCCTGAGATTAAAAAGCCACCCACTAGATGGTGCCCGGCTGCTCGGAAAGGGAGCACAGAGCAAGCCTTTGGTAGAGTGGGAGAACAACATGGAATAAAGCTCTAAATCCTGAGAAACAAAACAAAATCAGACTCAGGTGGAGGCGAAGGTCCCTTAGTCACCTTTCAGGTCTGGAAATGAACTCACGCCCAATCCACTAGTCAGCCATACAATAGACAGGCCTGTCAAGGGAGTGATAGGGAGGGCACACAGCTTTTATGAAGCTACAACTTTGAGATGAAAAGTTCAGAGGGGTCAGGGTCAGGATAAGTCCAGAGGGTTCGGGATGAAGGAGGAGTGGAAGCAGGAAGGACAGGGATGGAGGGAGACAAGTCGTGTGTGCGTTAAACTGAATGAGAGTCTTCATGTGCTCAGTAAACCTGCACCCAGCTCACTAGAGGAAGTCTTTGAAAACTGTCCATGATGCCAAGGTTTGTTTCTTCTTTTCTGCCGTCGTCTAAGTAGCAGAACATGGCAGAGTTATGACGCTTGTCCATGATTTTGACCT